TCACAGTTCCCCATGCATGCTGCAGCTGGGGTGCTGTCGGGTTGGTCCTGCAGTGCTGAGGGGAAGCGCTATGGGACCAACCCGGCAGCACCCCAGCTGTTCTGTCCCAGGTGTTCCCAAGTCAGCCACTGCTGAAACTGACCAGTGGCTGGCTTGAGGAAGCCAGGGGCAGAGCTGCTCTGACCCCGGATTCCCGGAGTCAGCCGCTGGTCAGTTTCAGCAGCGGCTGAAGCAGGGAAGCTGGAGACAGAGCAGCTCCAATTGTCTGGCTGCCTGGAGCACTTCCGGGTTCCAGATGGTGCCGGACCATCAGGAGTGCCAGACCATTGGATGCCGGACCACTGGAGTTTTACTGCAAGTACTTTATTTACTTGTTAAAGTGATCTCTCTTGCCCTTTTTACCTATTTTTATATGGTTGCCAAACACAATGCTAGGTGAACCTTTTAGAAGTAAACACACTAATGCACAATTAAGCAAGAATATCATCCTCATCCCTTCCTACTTTCAGAAGCAAGCTTGAAGTTATTGCTTATTAAATGTGAAGATTCTAATGTATTTGAGATGGTTATTATAGGAAAGTTATGAATCTAGTTCTGAATGTAATGAGGATGGTAATAATTTTTGTCTCATATAGAAGTGTGTTAAGTTCCATAATCCTGATGTAACTCCTGTCAAATTTCCCACAGATATAAGTCTTCCCTGTGTGGCAGCAGCATTTTTCCATTGAAAAGAAGTTGTGAGGAATTACAGTAGCACTCTCTCAGCCAATACCACACACACCTTGGACTACCAGTACAGCAACCTTGAACCAGATTGTGATAAAATGGACAACCAATGTAGAAAGCAACAAACTGGGGTGTTTTTCCCCAATAATGGTATGAACAAATTTTGTAGCTCTCTCACAGCATTAGGCTTCATTGGTAGATATAAGGAATTATAGCAGTCAACCCTGTACGTCAAAAATGTGAACTGTGGCAGCCAGATCAGTGTCTGATGGACTGGGCTTATCTACTCACTAGCTGCCAAAATAGTGGATATTCTTTGTCAATGTGGTTATTTGGTTGTCTTATCACACCGCAGAATCTCAGACAACCTCAGAGCTGTGGGCTGATTTAAAAATCAGAAGCTATGTGTACTCTAGAAATGCTGTTGCAATGGAAGGGATTCTTTCATAGTTGTAGTAAATCCATCTCTCTGTGATGTGGTAGCATGTGTCTGCACCAGGGCTGTCAACTATATTGAATGGGAAATGATATTTTTTCACAATCCTGAGCAGTGTTCACAATGAGTTGGATGCAGCCTGTGACAGGGCGCTCGCCCTGCACTGGCCCTTTAAGGGCAGACCCCGGCCTGAACCAGGGCCGGGGAATTTAGCCCAGCTGAGGCCGTACTAGCCCATTAGGGCCCAGCTGGGCGCTATAATAGAGAATGGGCTGCTGCTGTGAAAGGGGGAGTGAGAACCTGGCTGTGGAGGGAGGAGGCGGCTCCCTGGAGCTAGGGCAGGGCTGGGGGAGGCTAGGCAGGGCTAGGGGAGCTCTGGCCAGCAAATCCTCAGACTGCAGGGCTTGAAAGAAGGCCCGATGAAGGAACATCCACCCCCGGAAGGGGGGCTCAGAGACAGACTTGGGCACTGCCGGAGGGCAGTGTGGCGAAGAGGACGCCGCAGCCGGGAGTAAAGAGGGGAGACATCACCCCAGAGAAGGCACCCTACCCGCCGAGGGAGCCAATTCCTGAGGACAGACGGCAGGGGGGTTACGGTGGTGAGTGCACCCCCTCACACAGCCATTCAGGAAAGATTCAAATGCCACCCAGATGATTAGCAAAGTGCCCACACCTAAGTTTTGGGTTTCTATCGGTGGAACATATTTGCACATGCTTTGGTGCACATGCAAATGTATTCCGCATATGGATGGAAAAGATTAGAGGGAACACTGGCCCTGAGTGATGAAGTTAAGATGATCTAACTTTGACTTTCTGCAGTCAGGTATACAACTGAGAAGTTGAGTTTCTTGGTTTTTCTTTTTCCTTCTACATTACAAATGTTGCTCTTTCCTACAGAATCTAATTTTTTAATGAAAGCTTCCAGCCCTTCAGGTGATAAAATCCATGATATTAGTTAATATAGTGTTTGAAACTACAGTCAAGATTGTAAACAAGTACCAGACCAAACTTTCACTATTTATCTTAATGAGCTGTTAAGCCTAAATCCAGTAGTTTGTGCAATAACATGGTTAACGGTATCACTGAAGATCAAACTGGAACTCTTTCTATAACTTTCTAGTAATCTAGTATTCCCATTCATTTAGAAATATTGTGTAGGAACAAGATTCTAAAAGATGTGAATGTGTACAGAGAAAAATGCAATCACGTGCTCTGTAACAGAAAGCTCCATGCTAGCAGAACCACTGCAAGAAGGAATAAGCTAGATCTATGAGGCAGCAGAGGGCCTAGCAGAAGCTACGACTATCCTGATCCTTCTCCCATAGAGTAATAACCCATCACACTTAAGGTACACGTTGGCTTCAAGGGCATCTGTAGAGCAGTTCGGCAGGCACTCTTCAATATGGGTATGAAATAGGAATATTAATGGTTAACCAGTGAACGGGGTAAGGTTACAGTTAACCAGTAGGGGCAGGAGCAGCCCCCCATCTGCTGTGGGCAGAGGGCTTCTCCAGCCCCGCAGGGCTCGCCGTGGGCAGGGGCACTGCAGCCCGGCTGGAGCAGCACTTGTCTGCGGTGGGCCCAGGGCACTACAGCCTGGCTGGAGCAGTCCCCATCGGCAATTGGACGGGTGATCCAGGCTCCCTGCCTGCTCCCCCATTTAATCAGCTAACCACTTAAACTTAACCAATTAAACAGGATTTTATATCCCTACTATGAAAATTTCTTTATTCCTGCCCCCCATTCTCCAAAGCATATGTCAAAGATCTAGCCTAGCTACTCTGGCTCAGTCCTGAATTTGTGCCAGAAAGTCTTTTGATTAATTGGAAGACTGAGGTATTTGCCATTGTTAATGAATAAAATGAAATATTTTTGTGGTGGAAGCTTAAAACATTTACTTTCACAATGCAAGTTATGGGCCAGGTGAGTGAACCCAAGATTAAAAAAAAAAATGGAACAGGTTGTTTTATGCACATAGCTACAATTGCTATCTTATTTTTGATATGTTCCAATAATGCCACAACTTTCATTGACAAAAGACTTTTTTGAGAAGGAAAATGGGCTCATGCCCTTTTGTTAAAGATGTATGAAGAAAGTATAAATGGTCTTCTTCTCTAACACTTCCTTTTCCCAAAATTTTAGCCACTAGTTAAGAGAGGCTACCAGAATAAGCAAAACTATAGTTTGAGGGTCGATTAAAAATTCTTTCCCCTCACAATGTCTGAATTTACATTCTTAGAAGATGTCAGCAGTGCGCTTGCTCTCTAGTCACATTCATCCTCTAATATAGAGAGGATTCAAATTTCCACTATACAGGCAGTCCCCGACTTACGCGGATCCGACTCATGTCGGATCCGCACTTACGAACGGGGCTTTCTCGCCCCGGAGCTCGCAGGCAGCGGTCCCGCCACCTCGACCTCCGGGGCGAGAAAAGCTGCTCCCGGTGCCCCTA